ATCAATTTGAGCTACCGATCTGAATTCACAATATCGCTGTATGAAGGGCCAAAAACGGTGGGGTGGACCCGTAAGCAGAGGCACTTACGCGAAATCCACGGGAATTTAAGAATCTGCTTCCAACGATACGATCCAACAAATCGAATAACGCAATTCGCAATACTTATTAAGCTTCCTACAGGATGGTTTGTTAAGAAGGGCGCGTCAATCTCCATGAAACTGTTGGAGTAGAATTCACACCATCACAATCGAATCGGTAGGATAAAGAAAATGATAGTGTTTATTCCCTCCTAGACTCCGGTTGTCATACCACTCCAATCGTCCAGTTCCAGGTCAAATGATACCCTGATGCTCCCTCCCAACCCAGTATTTATTTATATATATAGTAAACATATGTAATGGAGAAATGAAATATATCAGAACATTAAAATACGGTATAATGAAAATACATTTATATTGATAAAAAAAAAACTGGTATTCCGCAATGAAAATAATAATTATTTTACATACAATATGATGCAGCTCTATGTCTCCTCAGCTTCCAATAAGGAAGATGTAACCCTGAAATTTCCAGGTTATATTATGCAAATAAATATTTTTAGCTAGAATGATACTTGATATGTTTGTGTTGTGTTATGTTGTGGGAGAGCTTGGGATTAAACCCATGATATTCTGCTCATTAAGCAAAACCGATCCCTCTAAGGTTATCGAGCATCTCAAAACCAAAACACTCCACGGCAAAACATGATTAAGCCACAGCCAAACAGACGTAACTCTTTGAAAAAGTTTTTCTTGAAAACATAGTATCTCCAAACATAGGACCTCAGTAACGACATCTCTCGGGCTTCTTGCGGAAAACATGCTTGCTCGCTAACTCGCAAACAATATTGCATTAAAGTTCTATAGTGATCCGATGCCAGCGCTGCGGCGAGTAGTTCGCGGAACTGATAATAATCAAATCAACCGTTAAATGCGTGAACGAAGATACCTAATGAAGAGTTACGTCTGTTTGTCTGTGATTAAGCCCTCACCTGGTATGTAATGAAAAACATAAATACGCGATAATTCATATATTTTCAGCATATGATGCAATATCACAACTGTTGATAAAAGGAACGGATCCTATCTTATTTAAAACCTGGATGACCTGAAATGTGTGAAACCGGCTTAATAATTATTTAAATGTAATGTAATATTGAAAATGCGTTATAATGCCATGTAACAAGATACAATAAACACAAGATTTTTACAAAACAGATAATGAACGATTCAGATTTCTTTTCAAGCTGGCACTATGCTTCCCTGGAGCCGCTCATAATAGCTAACATTAAGAATTAAGTATAATAAAATGTAATTTACAATAATATTAAATGATGTAAAGTCAATAATGAAAGATATGTAGTACTATAAACACTATACATATACCACAGACAAACAGACCTAACTCTAAGAAAAACTTGTTCTTGAAAACATTGTATTTAAAAACATATAACCTCAGTAACGACATCTTTCTGGCTTCTCGCGAAAAACAAGCTTGCTCGCTAACTCGTAAACAATATTGCATAAAAGTCCTATAGAATATATAGAAACGTCAAAGTGTTCCGATGCCAGCGCTGCGGCGAGTAGTTCGCGGAACTGATAATATTCAAATCAACCGTTAAATGCATGAACGAAGATACACAATGAAGAGTTACGTCTGTGTCTGTGCATATACGATAACCAATAGCTAGCTTAGCTTAGCTTAGATTGGTTGCTACTCCGTGATTGATCAGAATCAGTGAAATTGTACAATGAATCAACTGAATGGGGCTGGGAGTGACCGTCCATTCTCATTGTACAAGTTTCAGTGACTCTATATGTTGTAGATCAATAACGGCGCCGGCCACGTCCTTGCAATCAGGTGGGAGTAGGGAAGGAATATTAGAGTGACCTTTGTTGTTTGTGGGCCGTGTTTACCTCCGCACCTCAACAAAAGACACAGAAAAGGAGATTTTGTTAGTAAGTTGGGTTCGTTGGATCAGGATTCACCTTGATAAGTGATGCGACCATGGTTTTAAATGAATCAGTGCATACTTGGATTTGCCCGAAGCCAAAACCAAATGGTGATACTCAGAAGTAGTGCAAGTGATACTCAGAATAAGAGCCGTGATTACCGTTCAAATCAAATGGGAATCACTTCACCGTGACGACAAGTGACAACGTTTCACCGTGATGTGACACCCGTAATAAGCCCCATTATAATATAAATCTGAAGACGTTCCATCATCGAAATGCTGAAAATAAACTTAGAGCATGAGCATGAGCAAAATTGATCGCCCGCGACTGCCAACACCAAAGAGCTGAAAACCAATTCAAACAAATCAAATAAACAGACAAAACTAGGGTGAAAGCTGTAAGAGTGAATCATTACAGTATAAATCTAATGATGTTCCGTCATCAAAGAGCTGGAAGAAAACTCTTTGGATTGGATTTAGGATGATCCTATGGATATGCCTATGAAAGACGTGACGTGCCAGTTGCTTACCGAACCCACATAATATGATTCGCTTTTCTGAGATGTGGCCAATATAGGAACGTATGGCCAATACTGGTGCACTTCCCCTATATGATTTTTGCTCACAGCTCTTCCATTTTACGACCGATTTTTGAACTTCATAGGTCATTTGAAAGGTATTGACTGAAATTTAGTTTAGTTTGTAGGCAACTTGTTAGCTATATATATATATATATATATATATATTTTCTTTCATTTTGTGTATACTAAAACTTCTCTTAAAGTTACAAAATTTTCCAAAATTCACAGTGAATATTCATGACTGATTTTCTCAGAATTGGGTCGGCTAAATTTTGCAATGAAAGTGAAAATAAAACCCTTATTTTATATTCATCGAGATACTTTTGTGAACTGTTGTAAGTTTACTTGGATTTTAAGTATAAATCAATGGAAAAATATGATTGGGATTGATTTGCTGTATCTTGCTACCTATAAAGTGAATCAGCAATTAGCAACAGCATATGTCAATTTTCACTCGATTCTGCTATTATATAACGAAGCACGTCGTTATCGTCAATCCAATTGAATCGAAAAAAAATCATGAAAAGATAAATACACGCTACATTTACTAAAAACCTTAGCGGCGTCAGTGGTGTAGTGGTAAACGTGACTACCTCTCACTCCAAAGGGCTTGGATTCAATCCCAGTTGGCGCCGTTCCCGGCTTCCCAGGTTTTCCTGCTACAAATTTTAGCTACAATGTGAATGATTGCATAAGAAACAATTATGGAAAGTTTCATGCAAATCTGAGATTGTCAAGTCTGATCGACTCGTCATTTCGCCTAGAAATGCCAAATGGTTCTTAAACGCCAAAAACAATCTTATAAACAATAAAATTGCATAATAAATCCAAACCGTCAAAAATGGTGCAAAAGCACCAACATTACATAGCTTGAAACAGCCATCAGAAAAACGAAATTGAAATTCATAAATCAATAAATAACCTATTACAGTGACCCCTCCATACATGCGTGTTATCGTCCACTCTCCGCTGTTTCTCGGCTGCCCTTCAACCAATTACGCTGATTTTTTGACCAATTTTGATTTTCTGTCAACCATAAACTAGTTTACTACAGAAAATAAGCTCAATTGGTTGAAGGACAGCCGAGGAATAGCGGTTTGGTTTAAAATTAGTTTAAATTTTAAGCATCGTTTTTAAATAATTTAATATCAAGTATTTGCTACATACAGAAAGTAAAAAAATGCGTTCTTATTTAAGCTCATTGTTATTTCCATAAAATTAAAAAAAAAATTAAATGTTAGCTTGGAACCCACCGGAGGTTCGCTAGCCAATGATTGAGAAACGCTGCAATAAAGTAATTCTTATTTTACACACGATTCCGCATTTTATAATATCTAATTGATTTGCAGCCGTTGCCATTCCAACGGTCCCATCCCCTGACAAGAATGAGCACAAGTAACAATAAATAGTAGTTAAGCCAAATAAACCAAACTAAAAAAAAAAAAAACACCAACCTGCACCGGGTGGAAACTACATGGTACGAAACGAAGGGATCAGACCACGATGCACATCAACCCAACCTCCCGGACCATTAAAACGCCGGAGCTACAGTGTCAATTACAATTGAAAAGTATAACCAAACAGAATTGAGCGGAATTGAGCTCAAAAATATAAAACACCACCAACAACAGCAGGAATCCGGGAATCGTTCGTTGATGATGGCATGGTTGTGGCAGGGAGGGGTCGATTCAGACAATGGCTCACCAATAGCGAAAGGCGTGCACCATAGAAAGCCAGTTTTAAAAAGCAGCTCATTTTTTTTTCCACTGCACCCACAAAAGCCTGAACCTTCTGCCCCATCCATCCGTTCCATCGTTCCGATCGGGAGCGCGCGCGCGTGCAGAAATTGGCTAAATGAAGGGGGATAACGTGTTGGACGACACTGGCAGCGAATGAAAAAAAAAATGGTGCTAGTTTGCAATAAAACTAAATTGCTCAACCCGCTCGGCAGCAGGAGCAATTCAACAGTGTGACTGCAATTTGGCAGTTTAAATTAATCAATTGAACACACGAAACCATGTCTGCTTGGCTGATCCCTTTTTCTCCCTCTCTTTGTTGAATTGATCATGACGATGATGGTGCAACAACAGATTGGAGTTTTGCAGTTTCTATGAAAAATCCAACAATTTATTAACAAACCAGCAGAAACTGGTGCCCATCGGAAACGAAGCTAAACGTCAATGACGAATTTCTGCTAATGTGTGCACATAGAGGACTAGCAAAGGTCACACACCATCATCAACATCACCGTGATTATAAAGCGACTCACAAAGTGAGCTTTGGCGTGTGCCATTTGTGGTTGGCTAGAGACCGACCGAAGCCCACAAAACGCAACACCGCGTGGTATAAGTTGTCTTGTCTGTGTAGCCCATAGGTAATAACACGCTCAAGGGGATACTGAAAGGAAACCGAAAAAAAAACTTACTTAGCTCCATGTCGTGCTCCTGTATCAAGTCATCCTCCTGATCCAAGTCTCCATCGGACTCCGTGCCCGAATCGTGACCGTCAATCTGGAAATTGGCAAGCATGAAAATAAAGAGAACAAGAGAAGGAAAAGAAGGTTAAACGGTGAATTGATTGAGATTGTATTTTTTGGTTGGTTGGTTGGTTGGTTGGATGAGGTTGGGCCGTTCGTTATATCGTTCGGTTCATGCGATCCTGTCACAACTCAAACTAAAAATCGTCAAAAATTTCTCGTTATTTTTTTTAATTTTTCATGTAGGTTTTATTGCAATGTTTTATCAATCCACTACTAGAAGAATGTACAGCCTTTGAAAATTTTGTGTAATACAGTGAGATTATTTGCATTCAAAGTGTTTACGATTTTCAGAGTGGGTTGGAAATGCTATCGAATATCAACATGAAGCTTTTCAATTTTCATAATGCCGTACTCTAGCGGAACTATCAACCTACCCTCTTCAGAAATTTCTCTAGCTAATAAATTATCACACTAAAGCTTCATGTTGACTTTAGATAGCATTTCCAACCAACTCTAAATAAATTTGGTGTTTGAATGCTTTCGACCGATAAAACGAAAAAATGAGGAAATTTTAGATGTGACGGTATTGCATGAACCCGGCGATATGAAGTGTAGAATACAGGAATTGACAACAACGGTGGAACATTAAAAAAAAATTATCGGTCTACGGCTTTTGTTTTCATTTATTTTAAACAATGCAGTTTAGATCCATCAAATTTCGCAAACAAATTCGCCAATGCTTCCGAGGTCTTGGTCAAACCCTTCGGAATTCAACCGTAAGATTCTAATAAGTTTGTGCTTTCAATGTCACATGTTTTATTGCAGATTATCTGGCCCACGGTTATCCAGGATTCATACCTAAATCACACTCCAAGGTTCACTTCCATGTGAAAACAAAGTGACGTATACGCCACTTCGCTACTCTACGGGTTCCAAAATTATATCAGAACTTCGTTCAATACTTCATTGAGTTCGAAACCCTAATTGAACTCTAGGATAATCTTAGTCCAATTTTTAAAAGTTTGAGACCATAATAATTATTGTATATTGTTATTAGGCCTATCATAAACAGCTTCGAAAATCGATTTGTTTTTTTTTAATCAATACTAATTGGGCGCAGAAATATCAATCTACATGCATTTCGGTTATAAAATATGTGCCCCAACATACACAAGGGAAGTTTTGGACATTACTGGGAGCTCTGCAAACATACTAAACATAACGTAGGATCAATTAACAGCGCCCTTAAATATGAACTTAAGGTTAAAGTAGATCGGTCCGGAATAACTTCATTCATTGTTTACAAAATAACGCAACGCTCAATCGAAAAAAAAACTCTTCCGTTTAAATATAATAACTAAAATTGTCATCTCTGGCAATTTTTAAAAGATTTATTTATTGTTTAATTTTTCTGAAAACCATTTTCTAAGTTCAATTTTAGGACCACAATCAGTTTTCTCATCAAGTATTTAGTATGAAAGGTCATATTTGACTTCCGTCGATCGTTTCAAAATACTGTTAAGAACATTTCTTTCAAAGACCATATACCTGTAAAATGCATTATTTCAATACAACTTTTGTAATGGTGCCCCACGCATTAGATTTCGTTTTCCTAACCAATCAACAGTCTTCAACAATGTGATTTGGAACTCTCGCACGTATCAGAGAACCGAAATAAAAGCCACACGACGGGGCGATCCATGAATGAATTAGCAAGAAAAATCAACAGCACCGAGTACATGATCAAGCTCACACGTGACCTTTTTCATTCGCAATAACTGATGAATATTGTGAGATATATTTTTGTATTTCAATTCAAAATGTTTAGCAAAATCGATAATTGAAAACGGATGTAATAATTATTCGACAATTTCATCTATGCGTTATTGCTAGAACTCCTTGATAAAAGCGCTTGGAAATAAATAGTAAAAATAATGCTAAATTGAGAGTATTCCTTAATCATGTTGAATACGCGTGTATTTGTGAAATACTAAAAAAAAAACAAGGGGGTGTATGAGTGAGCTTATTATTAATTTCACCAGAATTTGAGGATATTCTGGGAAAAGCTTAGCCTTTTCAATGGATGTATTCTGATACATGTGGTTGTTTTTAAAGAAAATTAGATAAATTGAACTATTTTAGAAATCACCCACCTTTCCAATTGCTAAATGAATTATTTTTAAATCAAAAGATTCCTCAATTTTCACAAGTTGTTTCACAAGTATTTAAGGATATTCTGTGAAAAGTTCAGTCTTTTTGATGGAGGTACTCTGATATATGAGGATATTTTTAAAGATAATTATATAAATTGAACTATTTTTGCAATCAACCACCTTTACCATTGCTAAAGGAAATAAACAAAATTGATCCCGAGTTGTTTCACAAATATTTGAGGAAATTCTGTGAAAATTTCAGACATGTTTAGAAAGATCGAACAGTTTATCAAAGACTTACCATTTTAAATCCTCCATTTTGAAAATCTTCGACATTTTGGATCCACCATTGTGAAACTAAACCAACATCCAAGAATTGAAATGGCAAGACTTTTTTGAACTTCAGCAGGACTTCCTTGAAGTTCAGCAAGACTTCCCCGACTTTCGACAGGCCTTCCCTAAAGTTCGGCAGAAGTTCCGTGGACTTCATCAGGACTTCCATGATTTCCAAGAATTTAAATGGCAGGAACTCACTGAACTTTGGCAGGCCTTCCCTGAACTATGGCAGGACTTTCCTGAAGTTCGGCAGGCCTTCCCTGAATATTGGCAGGGCTTGAGCAGAACTTCCCTGAACTTTGGCAGTCGGCAGGACTTTCCTGATCTTTGGCAGGACTTTCCTGAAATTCGGCAGGACTTCCCTGAACGTCGTAAGACCGTCCCTGAAGTTTGGCAGGCCTTCCCTGAACTACGGCAAGACTTCCCTGAACTTCAGTAGGTCTTCCCTGTCCTTCGGCAGGCCTTCCCTGAACTTGGAATCTTGGAATTGAAGTTGTCATTTCAGTAGTAGAATTATTATAATTAAACAATTAAATTGTATTTTACGAGTATGGTCAAAATTTCAAAACTTCCCATTTTGCTAATTTGCAATGCTTGTTGGTATTTCTGCATTTTGAATTTGGGTGGTTCGAACGGGTGTGGAGTCAGTATTAACGGATAAGCATTAAATTTCACATTAATATAGGGGAATTTACGTATTCTCGTCCATCTAAGCAGCGTCCGCACTTGTATTAGCATTTTCTCAAAGTCACGGTCACATATAACGTGTTTGTTTGTTTACATTTATCTGCTACTGGCTTCTCTATTTATTCCAATCGACAGAATTGCCGATAACTGTTTGAGAGCGTTTTTACAACGCTCCAAACTTATCAGGTACGTGTGACTATTTTCGGCAGTCTCTTTTTCTTCGGCATCCTTTCCATTTGAACTGCGTGTTAACCAACTGTTCTATTATCGGCAACTCGAAATCAGTCGCATTTTGTGATGGATGTGTTTAATTTCAAGAAAAATCAGGTAAATTGCGTTTGTTCAGTCATAAAAATGTAATCAGCTTGAAGCTGAATGACTAAGGACTCGTTTGAATACATTCAGCGATGTGTTTTGATGGGAAAATATAGTGAAATTAACGTTTAAAATTTGGTTGCCGAAAACAGTCCATGGGTGCTGAAGCCGACATTTACCCTATTATAAATTCAAGTACAAGCGTTTGAACAAATATTCCGCTTACAAATGTGTTTTTTTTTTATTAATTTATTTGATAAGGCTCAACCGAATTAACTTTACAGAGCCAAGGATTCTTGTCCACTATACAATACATCTTAAAACTATAGTTAAACGGTACAACACAACAAACACTTTATCTTACGCTATCCAATAAGCCTTCTCCACCAGAACGGGAGCCACTTCCAGTGATTTCAGTGATTTTATGAACGTTCCTGTGAAGACTGACAAGGGTTCCTGGGGTGGAATTCCCCATCAATGCGGCAAAATGCACTACAATATTGGGCAAAATTAATCTCCTTGCCGTCTTATAAATGATCATGATCATTTGAGGCAGAAGAACGTCTTCGTTTCTCACTGCCTCCAGTTCTGATCGTAGTTGTTCAAAAGTCCATGACAGCTTTATAGATTTCGGTACGTTGCGGCCCATTTATGAAGAAAGAATAAAACGTAAACAAAGCTTGTTTATTAAAGGATCATTTTGTCCCGTACATTTTTCCCGAATGTATAAAGACAATGTTTATTATCAAAAAATAGAATTAAATATTATAAATTACAGGTATTTTATCAGAATGATGTAGCTCTAACCTCAGTCAAATCGATAATATATTTCACTGACGCTTAGCAATGTTTGAATCGCTAAAATAATCTTAACAATGCGGAGGACAAAATTACACTATATTCAATGCAAACTGGATTTTGATTTTATTTACATTATTTGATAACATAGCGCTGCCAAATTGATACGGTTTCCAAAGCAAACATAGATTTAACTTGTTGCAGATTGCCGCAAAGGTTCATGTTACCCCAGGTACCTCTTTTAAAACTTCCAAATGCATTAAGTAATTTTGCATTGCAATTTTCCCTGAGCGCTCTTGAAGTTCAAAAGTATTGCTACACTCCTTGTGATAAAAACAAACGCTTGTAACAAACTCCACAGCATTAAAAACAAAACGCATGTTGACTCTAGCATGCTAAATTAACGTGAGAAAACAGAATCCAAGCATTCTAAAATATGTTATTTATGTTCGAGAAGTTCAGGACAGTTCCAAAAGTTTGAGGCAAATGGCAGAAAATTTAAAGAAATGCTGATAAATTAAGGGATTCCAGAAAAAAAGGAAAGTTCCGAGCTCTTTTCAAAAACCATAATCAAAGTTCCATGAACTTTAGCCTGTTATCCGAAGCGTTCAGAGAAGTTTCAAAACCATAGGAAAGTTCCTATAACTACATGAAAGTCCAGAACATTGGGGAAGATTAAAGATCTTTAAGGAATGATTCCGATAGATTCAGTTCAGTTCTATGGGCTTTAGGAAACTTTCGT